GGACATCAAAATATATATGCCTCACACATCATCAAATTTTTGTGTGAACTAAGGTGTTTCCCAGTTGTCCAAAACAAGCTTATTAAATACTCATTCCCTAGCCTTTGGCTTACAGGAGTAATCCACAAGGCAGCAGCACATCCTCGGATGCGGTCTCACGGTAGCAGATCCATACACCATTTGTCCCCTCAGGATTCTGGGGCCCACGTAAACCCTTGATTTGGAATCAGGATTGTCCAACTTTCCTACATGGATCCTCTTTATCCACAAATCGGAAACTGACCCTTACACTTAATTTAACTGCTATAACTTTACAGTAATTGTGAAAGCATTTGTGACAATTTGATCTATCCTGTAACCTGGAGTCACTGTTGTAAAGTAGTTATTTGAGAATAAATATATATATATATAATCCCAACCTCTAAGTCATACTGTAAGCGCTTCAGTAAGAATTTTGCGGGTGTATCGACAGAATATCGACCTCAGCATAGTTTTGTAAACATGAACCACAGAAGTAGCAAACGTATATAAGCAACCTCGGTGTTACTGATTAGTCGTCTCATCAATCTAACGAGCCGGAAGCAAACCAAATATCCGCCTACTTCAGTTCCCAGTGACGGATGCAAGTATGACTCGTATATGCTGACTGATCTCTTTCCAACCAATATTGTGGAAGCAGTAACTTTCGATATTATCTTATGAAGAGTTACTGTTTAGAATTTATTACATATTGATTAAAAATTCAGATTAGTGTATTCTGATATTCTCCTAATTGAAAGCTATTTCTGTATATTTTACCGTTCTTGAGTAATCGGTGATTAACTACGGACCTATTACTGGTTTTCTCGTTGGCATCTTGTATAGCTATGAGCACACCGTAATTTTTTATCTACGTTGATTTTTGGTCAAGAACTTACTCGTTATTATTGTACGTGTTTCAGTCATAACAACAGCTACATAATTGATATCTTATCTACTTGCCTTGTTCTTTCATCGAACTGAATGCTACGGGATAAAGGCACACTTCCAACCCCATAAACACTTTGATTATCTCACACGTAGCTCCAGATTAGTTACTATCGATAGAAGTATGTAGCTGATCAAAGCATAAGACGTTATTCTAGAGACCGAATAGTTATGCTCAGGCTGGAGGATCATAAGCCAGATTCTAACTGGTGAGACTTCGGAAAGACATTAAGCTAAGACAACGAAGAGGCCACAGTGAGTGTCCCTATCTTTCCAAGTTCTTACTTTCTCATTTGGTTGGACAGCGCGTAAACGACTATGTACTGGGATCCAGTCTAAGAGAGCTGCTCCTGCTCTGGAACTTAATGCAATACATGTAGCGTAACTCAAGTTGGCTCTTTATCTAGACATATTGAGGTCGAATAAATCACTATACTTGGATCCTGTATGCGCGTTTCGGATAAGTAACATACATCAATGGTACGGGGTTTTAAATTCCTAGCTAAGGAAGCCTGGTGCCCTATATGACACAAAGTTCGAACATTCAAAGCTCCAACATGTAGTTTAGAATGGGGTTTCAGGAGGCGAGGAATAATGTTTCACGAACTCGAATCATTAGCATTATGGGGGCAAGGTGATTAAGGTATACCAGAAGGGTTGGTCATGGGGATTAGTCATTAAGAGGTGAAGGAAGGATTTGGTTGTCAATAAGTTGATCTCATATACTGTGAGAGGTATGAGAGCGGACGTCACCTCCCGGCTGCTCACACATGCCGAAAGAAAGCTGTTGTATCTGCTTGGATGCACTATTGTAATCTACTCTAAGAGCTTTACTTGCTCATAAACTGGTGTGCTTCGTTATAAAGCGATTCACAGACAGCAGGGACATTCCACGTTAACCGAAGCAAGATTAAGAAGGTTAAATATCGACATCAGCTTTGGCATGTTATATTTGATGGAACGGTAAATGCAGATCTTTGGCGAACCGACGGAATCTGTTAGCAGTACCTCCTTTTGGGCAGTGTAAGAAAAGTTTCTCCTACATCATTCCCTGAACAGGAACTTCATATTAGACTCTCAACGTTATCATTGAAAGGAGCTTGTCTTATGTGACGCGGAATATCAAAACAAATCAGAAGCGTTGAAGTGCTTTCCCGTCACAGTTTTCGGTCAGAGGCCTTTTCTAGATTAGTGACTAGATCCATGAACGAATTCATTAAGTGAATTACTCACTTGGTCAAGACCAAGTACTTAAAACCCTGAGCTCTTTAGATGCGAAAAAATCAACTGAACCGGATCAAAACCAAAAGATAAAGTGCACACACTGCTGCCTCGCTAACTACTATGTCCCATAAATCACTTTATCAAGGTAAGTTACCCAGATATTGGAAGCTGCGACTGTCATTCCAGTTCATATGGCAGGATCAATAAAATTTCCATCCAACTCTAGACTTGCTAAATTCACTGATGTAGTAGTCGAAATGCTACAAAGAATAAATAGAACGGACATAGTGACCTCCCTGTAGATAGATAACTAGTTAAACGGTGAACAAAATGGCTTCAGGAACTGTTTTAATGCACAAAGAACCTTCTTATCGCAAGGAAGAGGAGGAAACGTTTTCTTGATAATCGAAAAATCGATGGATATTTTCCATAGAAGCTTCAGAAAAGCACTCCATGAGGTACCGAACAGTTGACCTGTCTTCAAGTTAGAAATTTTCAGAATTGCCAGATCTCTTCCTAAGTGGATCAAAGGTTTCTTAATAGATGGACAACAGAAAGTAACAATAAGTTCCAATTTTTTTCGTTAGAACCCAGTACTTAGTGGAGTACCGCTTGGTTTAAGGTCCTCTACTTTCTGTACTGTGTATAGAAACAAACTCCTGAGCATCCCCGAAGCTACTTTATATTGATGATGCAAACATATGCTGAGGGATCAAGACAAGTTTTCACCATATGCTTAGCTAGACGTTTTGGTTTACTAGTTTTAAATGTGTCCGGGTGAGTTGATCCCCATAGTACGGTCTCACAAAGGTCGTAGGGTAACAGAAAATCACAGTCTTAAGACTACGGTTCACTTCAATGTAGCTGCAACTGTGGGGTTAAGAACCTTATTGGTTTGGAGCGGACAATCACAAAGTAAACCCATTATAGTATACACGACCCGATCGAAATTCATGCCTGAAAACTGTGTTCAGGCTGTAGGCTATCGAAAAAGGCACACGGATCTCTTTGAAGAATTACAATGGGCAGTTGTCCATGTAATTTCATAACTCAGGGCTTTAAATGCACATGCTGTCTAAAAAGTCAGAACTCTTTATTTTATGCTACTTGGGATAAGAGGTAACCTGACTTTCATTTACAGAATATGAAAGAATGGTGTCGAATTTCATATTTCCCTTTTTTTTCTTTCAGTTAAATGAAAACAACTTAGAGTAGACAGCAGGCGAGTACAAAGGCTAAGGATGATTAAATCTCCGTGGTATACAGGTTTTCACACTGAGATATCAATATACGAACCCGTTACTCGAAGCTATGATGTCAGTGTCTTTAAATGCCCCTTTCAGAAGAATACTAGACACTCAAAAGCTTACTAGAAAAAGAGAGAGCGTAGGCCTTCTGCCCTCAATATACAGTTGGAATCTGGTTGATGTGGCCTAAGAAACCTGAAAGGAGTCTTTTTGGAAGGAAATTACCATACTTTGAAGGTTTCGGGACAGTATTTCTCACAAATCTTCCAATAATTCTTTTGCTTTTGTTTATTTCATATATCCAAACCATAAATAAAGATGTCGATGATCATTTACTACTAGAAATGGAATCTCATTTAACAAAAACCTTTTATATTCCGTTGCCAAACTTTTAGAACAACAACATCTGACCGGCGTTGATCTACACAGACTATGCGAAGATCTGGAGGTCCATTAGAAGCGAAGAGGATTTGACTGAGCTTCAAAAGGACCTTACATCTATTGAGGAATGGACAGTGAAAAAACGGTTTAAAACTCAACCAACCGAAGTGCCACGTCATGCATATTCTGCCTCACACGACGCAAACGATCTACACCCTCAATGAAAGTCGGCTCCTTAAGGTCTCCTCAGGGCGCGATCTCGGTTTAATTACCACAGAAAGCCTCCACACGAGAACGGACTATATAGGAGACGCAGCCAAGGCAAATGCTACTCTTCCCTTTATGCGAAGACAACTTGCTACCCAGAATTATCCTTAACACTATTTAAGACGTATGTGCCTGACGATGATAGACTCCTGCACTTGGCATTATTTTCACTGAGCTACAGGAGAATCAGAGGTGATCTGATTATGGTGTACACCATATTAAACACGCCAGACCATCCCAATGTGAGCATTTTACCGATGCATCACCACCACTCCCCTCGAGGCAATCCTCGAAAGATTGCACATCGAAGAGCGAATACTCAGGTTCATGCCCACTTTTCCTCATTGCGAGTCATCGCAACTTGGAATGCTCTCCCAGCCGAGGTGACCACAGCCCCCTCAGTGGACGGCTTTAAGAAGAGACTTGATAATCACGTACTCACATACGGACTATCATCTCCCTCTTGGACAAGCCGTGCCTGATGCATATTTTGAGACCTGCTAGTTGTTACGATTGCCATCTCCTCAGATCACTCAATTAATCTATCTCGCCTATTCCTCTCCCTTGCTTACGCTTCGGTCCTCTCTCACAATCCTCACTACCAAGTAACAAACTAAATTCATCTATATATTACTCAGTTCTGAAATTTTATTCATATTATCATCAGAATTTTATCCTTATTACCCTTATAACTCTCCACATTGCAACTAACTGATCTCCGGTTTGGTAATGTGACGGCTGCTAGTATCCAGAAACGCTACTGCCCTGAAACAAACGTTTCATTCATATCCCGAGACATACAAACTCACAACCAACTGCCAACTGACTAGAATTAGACAGTCGAGTGGCTAGACCTCCATCGATTGGACATTACTGGACACGTGGAACCGTACCGAGAGAACCAGAATCGAGCGCGAAAAGATCGAATTGGTTTACACTAGCTCGTGAATAAGTTATTGGATACTGGAAATTGAACGTTCTGCCAAATCATGTTGAGACTTTAAGAATTTACGTTACATACCCAGCTGGCAAGCTTTACTTCGATGTCATCTGCATCCAAGGATTGTTTAGGGAACATGGAAATCAGGGAGTTTCAGAAGAAGTATAAGCTTGATTTTGATGAGATATTCGATCTTGCACAGACATTCTTCAATGGTGAGATTTATTTAAATTTAATATTTAACAATCTAACATCTAGAGAAAGCAGAAAAGGCATTCCACTTAAGTTTTGACGATCGAATTCAACTTTCGGCTCTCATGTGTATTAAGAAATACGGGAAGTATGATCGGTCAAAAGCACCTGTACCTGGGCTTCTTGATATAATTGGTCAAAGGAGAAAGTAAGTAGAATAATTAACTGAATAGTGTATTTGAGTGAAATTTCTTCATCAGGCTAATAATTTCTGACTCACAAGTAAGATTTTTTTGAACTCATCATAAGTGCGCCAATCAGTCGTGAAAGTAAATAGCTTGTAACCACCAAGGTTTTGCTATTGATTGATTGATTGGAGGTTTTGCCGGATTATTGGAATTTGACTGAATATATTGCAAAATGGAATTCTCTCATCTAATGCTCGATTTTATTCTTCGTTAAATACAGATTTGTGGACGATCGTTGTCTGCGTGAAATCTCATGGGTTCGGCAAACTCACCACTAAGATACAGTTACATCAGGAATGAAACGCAACTATAGAATCGCTCTCAAAATTTAGTTAGTTGTATTATATATTTGCTGCAGTAGTCACCATTAAGTTTCATGGTGATGTGTGAAAATGGATATCAGCAGTTCACTTTTAAGACAGATATCGGGTTCTCGGTTCGTGTCAGTTAAAAATAGAGATATACAACCTTAAATGAGACTAACAATACCTAAGTAACTAGAGGTTTTTAAATATAATGGTTATAAACTAATAATCTGAATTATTAGGGGGTCGGTTAGCCTAAGATGGTCATAATTTACCCTGACTAGCCTGTGAAATTTCTGGGCTCTACTTCATTAAGCTTAAGGTGTGATGAGTTAGACATAATCAGTCGAGTATTTTCATAATACCACTTATAACCCGGAACATTTTGCAGCTTGAAAAAAACGACCACCTAATATGGGTTATGACGAAATGGGGAGAGTTAGCGAAAGGATTTAGTCTATCATGTTATCGGAAGTTTAAACAGCTAGAACTACAGTATACTATTGGACAGCTTAATAATCAGTAGTGATTACAACATGTGAAGGAAAGCAGGTCTCAGGCAAAAAGGTACACTATCAAAAAATGATAACTAATGATGGTAAAACTAATATTTAAACTATATAAATGAGACGCCAACTTATGCTTGTTTTTCAGTGCTCGTTGGGAAACGTTAAGCGATATGAAGCCAAAAGAAGCTCAGGTGGAGTTCATAAATAGGATTTGTCATCTTTGTCCGTTGTTCATATCATATATGGAAGCGTATTCACGCAGCAAAGACAGTGTTCCCGATCATTTTTCGAAGTATGTAAGCATTTTTAACAATCGTAATCTCATTTGCTGTGCTTAAAGACCCTGTTATATCTTATGAGGTTTTAAAGTGTTAGCTCCGCTCTTCAAATGCCTTATCCCGGTGATGGAAATCCACGGGATAATGTGATGTGTAACATTTTTAGGCTTGACCTTTTCCAACCGCTTCCTTGTAAGAAGGCAGCATCACTGCAGACGCTGGTTGTCAGAGGGAAATACCTTACTACTGTCACACCCCTCTACTGTTGGCAGTAAGACTTTTCCCTTAGACCTTGAGTTGCTGCCTTAAGTCTTACCATTCTCCAATCGACCTGTCTAGTATGATAGGACCTAAAAGAACATATCCCGGGCATTATAGCTCGGTTGGGTCATCACGGTAGGCAAGCCCGACCACCACGTCAAGGTAGCAGCTACGGTCTAATAAAACGTAGCACCTCTATCACTTTGGATATCACTTCATTTTACGAAGATCACCTAAGACAATCCCTATCTTTATGGAAAAGTTTCATCAGAATAAATTTACCTGCTGTTCAGTTCTTAGCTATCTAATGAGTTGGGGTGTTTTAACATGTTACTATTATGTTATAACGTAATGATGAAATTAAAGCTCTTTTTCTAATAGCCTAAAGGTGAAAATAAGTAGTCGGGTATCAAGTTAATGACGTTCCAAGATTCAAACCATCAAAATGTATTCATACTGAACGATTAAAACTTGTTTGGATAGTCAAATACAACTACTTTTTCAAAGTCTCTTTGTTACTAATTTTTAAACGACCTCAGAATTACCACCTTCAAACCCTAATTAAAGGCTTTGTACAAACGATAGACTGGTTTTTTAGAATTATACTTTGGTCAGTAGCTTAAGATTTTCAACAGCGTTTCAATTAGTCCTATCCAAGTTATCGGATAATTTTTACAAAATTCAGTATGAGTCGTTTAAAAAGACAGGATTTATACACTCGGCTGCTCAAACTAATCTGTATGCAATGCAATTAAATCTGTGATCCAGTGGTTCAGTATTCAATTCTTCGACTAAATATGATCCATTCTTTTGATTTCTGCCTCCGATTCCAGACGTAATATGTTCTTTGGTCTTTCTCTTTTCCCTCTGCCTTGAGGATTCAAAGCTATGACTTTACTCATGACACAATTTAATGATTACCATAATATGTGTCTTACCTACTTCCATACTCTTTCTAATTTCCTCTCCAATCGGAAGCTGGTTTGTTCTCCGCCACAGTAGGTTGTTGTTGAAGGTGCTCGTTCAGTCGGTATGGAGTACCTTGCTGATACAGCTGTCTGTAAGGAAATTCATCCTCTGGATAATGGTTCTCGTAGCTCTCCAATTTTCCACTCCGTACGATAGAACTATCTGACCTTTGTGGTGAAAATTTTGACTTTTGTGTTGGTTGGTAGTTGTTTTGAGTTCCAGATGTTCTTCAGTTGCAGAAATGCTGCCCTTTCACTAATCGATGTATTCACGTTTGCATCAGATCCCCCTTGTTTACTCATGTTGTTGCCCGGATATCTCTTCCAGAGCTTCCTCGTCAAGTTTGATTTGGTTGTTACTTGTGTTGTACATATATATATATATATATATATATATATATATATATATATATATATAAATTTAAAAGAAAAACGATACTTTTGAACCACTAAAAATGATCATAAACCGTTTTCGATCAAACATTTGTTGGAACATCAAATACCTTGTTTTGGATGTGTTCAATCTCGTAAATACGTTTGTTGAATAGTTGACCGTAGCTGCTACCTTGACGTGGTGGTCAGGCTTGCTTATCGTGATAACCCAACCGAGCTATATTGGCTGGAACATATGTTCCTGTAGGTTCTACCATGCCAGGCAGGTCGATTGGAGAACGATGAGACTAAAAGCAGCTACTCAGGGTCTGAGGGCGAAGTCGTACTGCTGACTGCAAATGGGGGGTGACAGTAGTAAGGTGTTTCCCTCTGACAACCAGCATCTGCAGCGATGCTGCCTTCTCACAAGGAAGGAAGAGTTAGACAAGGTCAACCCTAAGAATGTCACAACTCACCCTACCTCACGGCTTTCTGACTCCGTCGGTAAGGTTGCCCACTAAGGACTTTTAAGAGCGGAGCTAATCCTCTAAATACCTTTCATAAAAAGGCCGTGCGTGACCGGCCTGGAGCAGTTTTCCCTTGAACTCTGCGGTCACACTCCCAGGTCTCTAAGACCAATACTAATCTTCTTTTTCAGTGTGGGTTGGCTTCCGAAATACTTGAGTGTCAAGTTTTCCTGTGTGAGTTCTGGTGATTAGTACATCCAAGAATGATAGACTGCTTTTTGATTCCTTTTCCATCGTCAATTTGATGTCATCGAATTCGTTGATCCGACTGTAGATCTTCTCCAACTCGTGGAAATACTGGATAGGGGGAGGACAAAGAACACTAGAGAATTCTCATAAGCTTGGCACTCAGGTCAATCAGCAATCAACAAACATCAACATTCACCCAATTTATCAACCAATCAGAAATATTATAGGTGAAATAGGATCAAGAAACAGATCAAAAGGCGGATACAATCCAAACAAAGGTGTAAACAACGACAGGTTTAGTGTCAACAGCAAGCAGTCAAGATCGAGCTTAGCAGAACAAGCTACAGGTCAAATGGGAGAAATTCGAATGCCTTACTTCTATCTGAAGTATGTGCTGATAAGGTTGTTCAGAAGAACAACAAAAGCTTCACAACCAAAACATCCAGCTAAGAGAACGAATCACCACCACGATCTGCATTTTTTCAGCATCTTCACCGAACAGAATTATGTCATCGGCATATTCTAAGTCAATAAGCTAGCCTCCTGGTAGAAGGTCTACTCCTGAAAATTCAGAAAAGGATAAGGTTATATCTAGCAACATGTCTATGACAAAATCGAAAAGGAATGGGGAAAGTGGACATCTCTGACGAACACCACTTGAAGTAAAGAATTCCGATGACAGTTCGCCATAAACTCTCACTCGACCTGCAGTGTTCAAGTAGAAAGCTTCTATAAGGTGAATGTACTTTTCTGGTACACCTTTCAATAATGACAGACACTGCCAAAGAACCTCACGATCCACAGAGTCGAATGCCGCCTTAAGGTCCAGGAGGACAACTATTGTTGGACGCCTAAATGTGTGTCTGTGTTCCAGGACCTGTCGTAGTGTGAAGATGTAGTTTATACAGCCACATCCTTCTCTGTAACCAGCCTGGTTTTCTCTAGTCTGCTCTTCACGAGCTATAGTTAGGCTTCTAAGTATAATCGAGGCTAGCAATTTAGCAACTATATTAGTTAGACTGATTCCCCTGTGACTGTCACAAGAAGACTTGTGTCCTTTCTCATAGATTGGGACAATCGGCGATTGAGACCAGTCGGATAGGATTACGTCCAGTTCCCAGATTCTACCTAAGATCTCGGTTAATCTAACTGTTAAAACTGGACCAACATCCTTAAAAATCTCAGGTGTCAGTCTATCAGGACCTGCTGCTCTACCTCGCTTTAGATTTCCTATAGCTTTCTCAACTTCATAAAGACTGGGAGGACTTAAATCGATATGCCATTCAGGATGACTGGGGACCGTGGCCAACCGAAGTATGGTTGACGGCCAATTGAACTGATACTTAAAGTGTTCTGCCCATCGATCCAATCTCCTGGATTGAGGATGAATGATACAGCCATCCTGTTCTGAGATAGTTTCGCAAACAAATGGATTTCTAACACCGGCTTCCTTGATAAGTTTTAATCGTTGCCTACTGTTGCAGACTGAAGAGATCAAGACTGATCTGAGACGTGGACGTGGCTGTATGGACCAGATATTCACAATTCGTCAGGTCCTAGAAGACATACACACGCTCAGACGTCCGAAAATAGTAGTATTCTTTGAACTTAAGGCTGCATTTGACTCTGTTGATCGTGAGATTTTGTGAAATTGTCTGTCATTGAATGGTGTAGCAAATAGAAACACTAATCTCATACATGCTTTCTACTCGAACACCACTGGTCGAATGAGAGTTTATGGCGAACTGTCATCGGAACCGATTACTTCCAAATGGTGTTCGTCCACTATCTCCATTCATATTCAACACTGTCATTGATATGCATTTAGATATAACCCTCGTCATCTGATTTCTCGGGAATCGACCTTCTGCAGAGAGTTTCGCTTGTTGACTTAGAAATATACCGATGAAATAGTTTTGTTTGGTGAAGAATCTGACAAAATGCAGAGTCTTCTGGCCAGCCTAAGCGAAAATGCTGACCAAAGGACTGGTTTACGTAGAATCAGTTCGCTCCGTCCAACTATACGTGTGTTAAACATGGCCAGTATGAGTAGAGGATATTCGTAGGTTTTTATTATTTTTCTTATATCCTGGGACCCTGGGGTAAGCAATGCTAGTGAAGAAAGCTAGGTGCGGTCAAACGAAAACATGGCACAAATTTATGAAGTCACTGAGAAGTGGACCAGGCCGTGTTTGGTATGTGTAGGGTGCCTGGCTGGTGCCCGCGAGACGATAGTAACCGTTAGTTGGAGACTTTGAATGACATGGCTGAAAGTCGTTTGCGATGGCGCAAGTGCATCCATTCCTTGTGTTCTCTCAAATCTTAATCTTCTGAATTCCTTACCACCTTTCTCTTTTTAAGCTTATTTCACTAGATTATGCGATTTGAATAATATCTTCGAATCTAGTCTTCTCCATTATCGTTAATGGCTGGAACACATGTTCCTGCAGGTCCTAACATGCCGGGCAGGTCGATTGGAGAACGATGAGACTAAAAGCAGCTACCCAAGGTCTGAGGGCGAAGTCGTACTGCTGACTGCAGAGGGGTGTGACAGCAGTAAGGTGTTTCCCTCGGACAACCAGCATCTGCAGCGATGCTGCCTTCCACAAGGAAGGAAGGGTTAGAAAAGGTCGGCCCTAAAAATGTCACACCCTCCCCTAACTCACGGATTTCCGTCTCCTTGGGTAAGGGTGCCCACTACGGGCCTTTAAGAACGGAGCTAATCCTCTAAATACCTCTCATA